ATAACGGTTTAATTTTCTATTGTTTGGGAAGAAAGGTGGAAATTGATTCAGACAGGGTGGGGCAGATATCAGTCATTCCCTGAGGCCCATGAAAACCCTCGGCGTCCCTGAACAGAATAAAGATTGTACATTTTATTTCATATATGATTTCCACTCTATGATCAACACATATAATTCCAGCACGTGAAACCCTCTCATACGGTATAGATAAGCTTGGTACGCAACATGTTTTGTTTTATATGGGATTGTTTATAAGCAAAATATTGCTTTACATTTCTTCTTCTTGTAAACAACAATATTTTATTCTGGGTCACAAGCAGTGAACAACATTTATATTATCTCTGTTTAGTTCTCTTCATATTAAGCCAGGACATGGCCTTGTGGTTAGGGGCTCTCTCTATGAATCCCAAGATTCACGGTTAGCGGCCCGTTGCCGCCAAAACGCGCTGCATACTTTAAAACTTGTTACCAAAGTGAAAGTCGGAACCCACTATTCGATCAAGAGTTGACGGTTGGCGCTGCCTTTAATCTATGAGTACAAAATCAGAGCTGTCTAAAATATTAGAAATAGATGAAAATTTTCACTTAACAGCAACAAATACAATAGATTGCTTATTACATGTTACAACCTTATTATATCAAATAGTTCCCAAGATGGTGCCCACAAACGTACACGGGACTACATAGTAGAGTATGTTTGTTGTTAATTATTATGGAACGGATAAAAAGTATATAGTTATTTAAAAACCCGACCCGGCATGGCCAGATGGTTAGGGCGCTTGACTGGCAATATGAGGGCTGCGGGTTCAAATCCCCATCCCACCAAACGTGCTCGCCTATTCAATCGTGGGGGTATTATAATGTGACGGTCAATCTCACTATTCGTTGGTAAAAGAGTAACCCAAGAGTTGGCGGTTGGTGGTGATGACTAACTGCCTTCCCTCTAGTGTTTCACTGCTAAATTAGAGACGACTAGCGCAGATAGTTTTCGTGTAGCTTTGCGCGAAATTAACAACAAAAAAAAACAACAGTATATATCAGGTTGTGTGGCGAAAAATTACAATTTTTCTTCGTCATATTCCTTTGTTCCCAAAAAAAACATCAGTCTCGTGTTTTCCATAACATATTTTGTGGGAATTGCCTCATCTTCGAGTGCGATATGCATTTTTAGCACACCAGATGCGGCTTAAACCCGGACTGAAGTCCGTACACTTTCCAGGGTTACACAGGCCCCGGCATAGCGTTCAACATCTCTCTCCACCAACACAAGTGCAACTTCGCTAAGCCTACGATAATGTGAAAGTCTCGAACCTCCCAGGATTTAACCATAAGAGGGTTTTCCCCTGGCACAATGGATGTTACTCCAGGGCTGCAGTTCATATGGTGCGTATAGCCACCAAAGATAAACGTTGGCTCTAAAAAATCCGAAGGTCTCAACAGCCGAATGACTAGTATCATCGGATCATTGTTTCAATCGCGTAGGGTCGGGAAAAGCCCCCTGGATGTTGCCAGCAACAATCTAGACTACCAACGTTAAAGGTAAAAGAGTGCACTTCTTTTAATGTGGTGCGATCTTTCATCATGCCTTTTCACTTTTCATCTCCGAAGTTTGAAAGACCAGACCTCCGCGTGGTACAAAACGTTGAAACTTATCACAGTTTTATGTCTCCATAAACCGATTATTCCTTGCAAAGAACGCTTTTGTATTTACAGACCATCGTTGGTCAATATCTCGATCTCAACTTTGGATCATATTACCACAATCACGCTGTATAGAACTCGTCTTTCTCTATTGTTTTCGACAGATAATATGTTCACAATTACACTGAATATGGCAGGAACAGTTTGTTTGATTTATTATCACATATTTTCATTGAACTTACTCATAACTTCTTAGAATTATTAATATAGTTTTCTCCCGTTGACGCTGGTGTTGTCTGATCTGCTCCGGGAACAATAAGACTAGCTTGTTGATGCGTTAGTTCCTCTGAATGATAGTAGAGTTAATTCAAGTACAAAAATAAATATATAATTGGTGTTAAACGTAAATAATATTGTGGTTTTTTTTATCCATAATGCACCCCAGTGGCACAGCGGTATGTCTGCGGACTTACAACGCTTAACTGCAAACAAACCTTACCATAATTCCGATTTGTAAATGACTTAAATAAAATTAATAATAACTAAAATGTACTTACTTGATTTAGTTCACACCATAACAGTTGTTGTTTATGCAATTGATGATATAAATAGGCTTAGACCACTACTATGTCTGTCATATCCTAACTGGCCTAGAAACGGACAAAAGGCCTCGTAGGTACTGGAAATGACGAATAGAGTGTAGTTAACATTTTCTATTCTTCTTTGCTTTCATTTATAAGTTTTTAGAATTATTCGCAATTGTATAAATACATTTTCATCCCATTGTTTAATTACACAGTTAGCCATTTTAGGCCTTTCCTTATATCTGTCCTTCACTTATATACTTTATAACAATGTTTTTTGTTGTTGTTGTTTCTTTGTCTTTAAAGTGCTAGTAAAATACGGGCTTTGTTTAACTCTACCACTAACGCTGTTACTGAATTCTGATGTCAAACTGCCCAATATCAAACTGTTAGTGGTAGAGTTAAACAAAGCCCGTATTTTACTAGCACTTTAAAGACAAAGAAACAACAACAACAAAAAACATTGTTGCTGTTACTGAATTCTGATGTCAAACTGCCCAATATCAAACTTCTCTGATAAATGCAACAAATATTGGTACCAAATTACTCAGTCTAAAATTGTTCCTGCAGCACACGGGTACAAAAGTTGGTATCAAATTATACAGGTTAAATAGTTTCGAACAGAGTAATTCGATACCAATGTTTGTTTTGTTCATCAGGAACAGCTGTAAACTGGGTATTTTAATAACAATGTTTGTTTTGTTCATCAGGAACAGCTGTAAACTGGGTATTTTAATAACAATGTTTGTTTCGTTTATCAGAGATAGTTTCGAACAGAGTAATTCGATACCAATGTTTGTTTCGAGTACCAGGAACAGTTTAGAACCAAGTTGTTTGATATCAACATTTGTCATGTGTTCGAGGGACAGTTTTGAACTTAGGGGCTTTGTATCAAGCATCAGGGACAGTTTTGAACTGAGTAATTTGATACCAACATGTTTTATGCATCAGGACAATTTTAAGCGAAAAAGTTTGATACTAAAATTTGTCTCAAGTATCTGAAACAGTTTCGAACTAAGTAATTTGATAGTAAAATTTGTCTCGGATGCTAAGGACAGTTTTAAGTTAAGTAGTTTAATAAACTTTTGTCTAATGCATCAAGAACAGTTTGAACTGATTATTGTAATGTCAACACTATCTCTAGGATATAAAGGAGAATGTCAGCTATAATTTATATTATCAAATTTTGATTTTCAATTACATGTAATTTTGTAGTAGGAAAAGCAAAATTTTGCCAGGTAGACATTGATTCCTTAAATATTTTTTACATATATTTGGCAATAATAATATGTATAAAGTGGAAAAATGTTTAAGTGAAACATGTTTGAGTTATGTAAAATTCAGTGCAGGAAGTATATACTCGTAGATGTTTTAAGCCTCTTCAGTTTGCCCGTACGTTACCATGGGAACCGCTTGTCATATACAGTCAGGATATAGCTTTCCCAATAGGCAGTAAGTACTACACGTGTGTATGAGCCAAACCTTTCATGGCACGCCTCTTTCGACTGGTCTGAGCTGAGAGAAAAAAAATACAACTAATACTATATCATATATATATATATATATGTGTGTGTGTGTGTGTGTGTGTCCGTATAGGGATTATAGCCCCGTTTTAATCTTTTCTGAGTTTCCAAGGGACCAATATAGCTATAGCAGCGCATAAAATGACATTTTCTCATATGCTATAAGTCTAACTGGTCTGGATTTCCTGGTTATAAAAATAACACAGCTAAAAAAGTAAACTTTATGTTTTTACTTTCAAGACATGATGTAAGACTTAGTGTGTATATTTTTATGATACCGCTTGATATCATGTAAAAAAATAAGGCTCTTTCCCCCAGAAACAATTCTGTAAACACATATAAAAAGATATAGTTTGAGAAAAGAAACATCTGCTCGCCTAAAAAATTAGCTTCTCTCGGTAATAGTTGTGTATGATGTACAAAGAGCTCAGACTTTTCATTTCTTTAAATCCACAGTAGAAAGAGACTATTTTAATACGTTGCATTATTTCTCAAGTTTCGCCGTACAAAGAGTCTCACAATAGACAACGACAATCTAGAAATAGTCGTACCCAACCCTCGCTGGAATCTGTTTACACGGAAATGCTGACAATGAATGTCTGTTTGTGATGAAATTTAAAGTTGTAATTTATCTAGTTGTTACTGGCAAAACTATATTTGAGAGAATACTAAGTTCATCCCACGTAACAGCTAACCGAACTCCATTTGAAATATTAATTAAATCTCCCACAAAATTTTAGCTCGTGCTATAGATTTTTTATTTGATAACGGACTTAAAGTAAATATTTCAATAGTACCTTCTTAATAATTGTTCTACATTCTTACATAAATATCGCCCTCTAGTGACAACAACTGTTACTTTACGTGTACGTTACTTAAGTTGATCACAGTTCAGATAATTAGATACTGATTTACGCATTCCGTCAATGGACTCGGATTAAGTAATACAAGTTTATATATATATATATATATATAAGTTAGCGTCATAAACCAAGGCAGCTAGAAAGATTTGTTTTTTGCTTGTAATTAAGCACAAAGCTACACAATGGGCTATCTGTGCTCTGCCCACCACGGGTATCGAAACCCGGATTCTAGCGTTGTAAGTCTGCAGACATACGGCTGTGCCACTGGGGGGGGGGGCATCTAGAAAGAGAGAAAAATTGTATAAATTAGAAAAAAATATATTGGTTGAAGTTATAGCTATTTATATAACCTATGTATTATTTTTTTTTTCTGTGTTCTTTTCTTTTAGACCGAGTGACCAACAGTTCACATTGTAGTTCTTGGACTAAGATACCCGACCGCCGCCATTATGACGTGGACGGAATGGGTTCCTACTTCATAGGTAAGTTTTCTTTGACTTCATATGGCTTAAACTTCCTGAAAATATGGGCACATGTCAACGATCTGATTTGTAAAACAAAAATATTCGTGTGCTATAATTAAGACAAAAGAAATGTAGTTTCTACTAGTTATTTTACGCTGTATGTGCACAACTGTATCACGCAAAAGAAGAATATTCAACCAACTCGTACAGCTCAATACACACCTGGCTGAGACAAACTGTAGCTGTCGAGACAAGTGCAGATGCTTTAAATTGTGGTGCCACGAGCTCCGACGTGTTCATAGACACGCACACAAGAAACTCGCCTATCGTGAAATTGTGAATCTAATGCTAAGATGTTATGCACAATGTGTAACTCGTTTTAGCCACGAGTTAAGAGGCGCAAGTATACTCATGCAAGTAAGATTCTGGCCTATCGTGAGTGAGTAGATCTAACACGTTATAACATACAACATAAATAAAACAAAAACCGTAGCATTTTTGTGACATGGCAGGTGGATCTCGTTTCTTCTTCAAAGTAAAGGCACTGAAGAAACCAGATCCACCTGTCGAAAGCGTTAGGATTTTATCGAAGTTTTTTTTATGGTTATTTTCTACACTTTTGTCCTAAATGCTTTTTTTTTCTTTTCTTTTTACTGTCATGGAAATGTCACATAAAATATTCGGGGCTGAACCCCACAACCACTGAAGCGCAGATCCTCTGCTTCACTTGATTTGGCGTTATAGAAGTGACTTCTAATAAACAGATTGGTACAATGAACTAAACCTGGACCAATAGGATGTGACTGCTTCAAATACTGCCATTTTTATGTAAATTCAGTTTACCTTCGACGTAATGTTGCTAAATATGCATAATGTGTCTCCTAATGACGTAATTAAAGTTTTCAGAAAATAAAATACTTTATACACAGACACGCAACACTTGAATAAAGGTTAACGCCCTAGGAAATAAAAATAACCCACTGATAATGACATAGACAAAAGAAAAACACCAAACATACTTAATCCACAATTTCTAATTACGCTCGGTTAGGCCTAATGCTGAAAACAATTATGTATTTTTTTTATTTTTTCAGGTGCACCTTTTTAAGAAACACTATCCTTCACTAGGATACGAAAGTAAAATTTAAAATATTCTAAATTTTCCTACATAGAAGTTCTGATACGAAATCCACGTACCTTATATCATAATTTAGGTGTAGCCTTTTCCGACGTAGTATTCACATTTACTTTGTGCTTATTTGAACATGTTTTTGTACCTTTTTAATCTTTGTGTTGCCTTCCTATTGTTTTTACACGTTTATGATATAATGAAAACACCTAAAATAATGGTTACTGTAAGTAGAAAACTTGTATACGAAACACAACCGACAGTGATACTAACACCGTAGAGTTCATTTGAGGTTCAAAGCTAAATAGTTATCTCTTACAAGCCTTCTGGCAACTCAGAAGTAAGCTTTACAGCTTATAACACTAAATGCGGGGTCACGTTGTAGAATGCCTATTGGGTAAGCTTTGCGCTTACACGAAAACAATTTCGTGGGGATTTGAAATTAAGTTTTATCTTAGTAGAGATCAATCAGGAATTGAGTTAATAAATATCCCAGTCGTTAATTGAAACAAAAGTGTTAAATTTCGCCTTGATTTTGCATTTGAAATCAATGGCCTCGTCCTAAAAGCATTGGAACGATGAAAGAAATTAGTTCCTAAAGTTATATTGGGAAGACTTATCTCTGCCTAGGTTTTAGATTTGAGTAATATTAATTAAAACTAAATCTGCACTGCATGCCAACTATAAAATATACTCTGCCATGACCAAGCTGAAAACTATTTATTTAGACTTATCTCTACCTAGGTTTTAGATTTGAGTAATATTAATTAGAACTAAATCTGCACTGCATGCCAACTATAAAATATACTCTGCCATGACCAAGCTGAAAACTATTTATTTAGACTTATCTCTGCCTAGGTTTTAGATTTGAGTAATATTAATTAGAACTAAATCTGCACTGAATGTTAACTATAAAATATACTCTGCCATGACCAAGCTGAAAACTATTTACTTAGACTTATCTCTGCCTAGGTTTTAGATTTGAGTAATATTAATTAGAACTAAATCTGCACTGAATGTCAACTATAAAATATACTCTGCCATGACCAAGCTGAAAACTATTTATTTAGACTTATCTCTGCCTAGGTTTTAGATTTGAGTAATATTAATTAGAACTAAATCTGCACTGCATGCCAACTATAAAATATACTCTGCCATGACCAAGCTGAAAACTATTTATTTAGACTTATCTCTGTCAGAAAACAAGTAGGATTAATCATTGTATTACCTGTAACATTTCTAAGGAACAAGTCTCTATTTCAACAACCCCCAGTGGCACAGCGGTATGTGTATGCGGATTTATACTGCTAGAAACCTGGTTTCGATACCCGTGGTGGGCAAAGCACAGATAGCCCTTTGTGTAGCTTTGTTCTTTATAACAAACAACAATTCAAACATAACTTCTGCTTTCTTCTTTGTGTATTTTAACTGGATGAAAACTGATAAGCATAGCTTTATTTATAGTTTGATTTAAGAAATACTAACCATAAACCATATTTTTTCCCCGTTTTTGTGACGCTTAAAAGACAAAATAAACTTATAAATACCCTGAGCACTAAGAGAAATGTCTTATGTAAATTGAAGTCGCAAACGTTAGTTTGAAGGTCGTTATCCCACTATAAAGTTATATATGCATCACCTGCTATTTTATGAGAAATATATTGAGGTCATTGAAGCAGAACTTTGATGCCACGTTCTGCTAAACTGATGCTAATAGTTGTAAATACTATATAATACCCAACAAGTATAAATCTCTTTAATAATTAACAGTAAATGTCATTTATAAAGTAAATACATATCTATACAATTGATGTATATATTTTAGACAAATTTTACAACGTTTTCTTCTTTTCTTTTTTTTGCGTTTCATAGGAGTCTCGACCACCTGGTGTTAGAGTGTTATTTGATTGTTTTTTTTCTCTCTGTCGTATACGCACATACAGAGATCATTTAAATCTTCTTCGGGTAATTTAGAAAGCATCGAGTTCATCTGCGTTACATACGTTTCACATTTCCTAGCGTATCGATAAATTTGTTTCCGGCTTCATAATCCAAAACATTACATAACTTGTGGAACAGAATAATCTATCTACGTGTAGATAGATTTGGTATTGTAAAATACTAATTTATACGACTGCTACCTAAGTAATTGAACTAACAAAGTTTGACTTTCTAAAATGACTCTGAAGTGTCAACTTGAAAAGCGATTCTTTGAAAACAACTTAGAAGACAGGCTTTTGAGTTTTTGTTAGTATTGGTATGTTCTTGTTTGTCGTCTGTAATATATGTACCTTTTTTTAAAGTACAATACTTTCTAGGCACGTTTAAAAAAGAAATTATGTAAACACAAAGATTTTTTTTACTTCTTGTTAATGAGGTTAAACTAAGATGTATACTTCTTTTACATGTATGCATTCGTTGATAATTCTGTATATATAGATAGATACTTTTTTGAGTAGCACAGTTCTTCACGTTGTGGTGATTATTTTATATTACTGTGGAGCTGGCATGAGCAGTGACACTACTATTTATGTTCAAATAACCTTCAAAATTAGCTACTCTCTCGTCCTCTCCAGCGCCACCTGTAGCCAATTCTCGGAAGCAGCGACGAGAAAGAACAACATTTACCCGAGCGCAGTTAGATGTTCTGGAGTCTTTGTTTACGAAAACCCGTTATCCAGATATCTTCATGCGTGAAGAGGTAGCATTGAAAATTAACCTGCCAGAGTCCAGAGTCCAGGTAAGCCTGTTTAAAACTGTTCAATCTAGAACACAAGCTAGATCTTTTAACGGTTGAACCTTCCACAATTCGTAGTACGGGTAAGCCTGCTTAAAACTGTTCAGTATAGAATACAAGCTAGATCTTTAAACATTTGAACCTTCAAGTGTCCAGGTAAGACTGTTTAAAACTGTTCAGTATAGAATACAAGCTAGATCTTTAAACGGTTGAACCTTCCAGAATTCGGAGTACAGGTAAGCCGGTTTAAAACTGTTTAGTCTCGAATACAAGCTAGATCTTTAGACGGTTGAGCCTTCCAGAATTCGGAATACGGGTAAGCCTGTTTAAAACTGTTCAGTATAGAATACAAGCTAGATCTTTAAGCGTTGGTTAAGCTAGCTAGTCTAAATTCAAAATAGGAAGAAAATATTGGTTGAAAAAAAAATAAGTGCAAAGTGCAGTACAGGTAAGACTTAGAGTTGAACCTCCCAGAAAACAAAAGACTGGCAAGTCCTCTAAGTGTCAATGAGAAAGAAGAAGTGCAATATGTAGCTAAACTTTTACAGAATTGATGAATCCTACCAGAGGCTAAAATAACATATTTTTTTTTTGTGTGAACAGTTTAGATATATAAAATAATACGACTAGCGAAAACCCACAATATAAGTTAATCCTTTAATTGTGGGTTCAGGCAACTTCATACTGGTACGTTGGCAAGACGTGGAGAATTTAGTTCAACAAGATTAAGTACAGGTAAGACTTCATATATGAATTCGAACAACCCAAGTTTCAAAACGCTTAAGCGTCGCGAACAAAAGAAAATGCTCCTTGGTTATGTACGAAAAAATATTAAGCATCCCTTTTTTTTTGTTTTGTTTTTTGTATCAGAATATAAATTTTAGTATCCATTTCAGTTAAACACAAATATTAATCGTCAAGAACTTTCATTAACCACCCCCCAAAAAACGTACAACACGTATGATAGTTAAACGTAGTCTAAACGTCACGTTAGTGTAGCCTATATAATGTGTAAAGCTTAGTGTAATTCCTTATAGTGATGGCACACGAAGACACACATTCGGCATGTAATGCTGTTTGAATACAAGAAGGGAAACAACGCCTCTGTAGCAACAAAGAATATCAAAGAAGTTTATGAAATGTTTCGAACGTTCTTAAGTGTCAACGATGGTTCAGCAAATTTCGTTCAGGTGACTTTGGCCTTAAAAACTGTGATGGCAGGGGCCGACATGTTGGAATTGATATTGATGCTCTGAAAACGCTTGTTGAGTCTAGCCCAAGGCAATACACTTGTAAAATGGTCCTGAAATTGCATGTCTCTCATGAAATGATACGTAAACATCTAAGGAATATCGGAAAACTCCATATAGAAGGTGTTTGAGTGCCTCACGAACTCTCCGATGATCATCGTTTCCAACGTGTGAACGTTGCTTTGTCTCTTCGGGCGCGTAATGCGCGAGAACCATTTTTTGACAGAATTGTCACCAGTGATGAAAAATGGATTCTCTATGCGAATATTAAACGCCAAAAACAATAGCTCACTCCTAGACAAAAACCACTTCCGACCCCAAAACCTGGACTTCGTCCGCAGAAAGTAATGTTTTGCATTTGGTGGGACATCAAAGGAGTGATTCATTTCGAACTCCTCACTTCACAGTGAAATGTCAATGCAGAAATCTATAGCCAGCAACTGGAACGTTTAAATCAAACCCTTCAACAGTTACACCCTTCACTCATCAATCTGACAATCATCACGACAATGTCCACTCGTGGCACGTTTGATGCAGCACAAGATTATGGAGTTGGGTTGGAAAGTTCTCCCACACCCACCATATTCTCCAGATATGGCACCATCATATTGCCATCTTCTTCGTTCGCTGCAACACCATCTTTTTGCTTTAAAGCTAAGTGATTTCTTTAATAAGGGAATTAACAACCTGATTATAAGATGGAAAAGCATCATCGATAAGAATGGAGACTATTTCATTTAACAAATGCTTTGTTTGATATATAAGTTGTTCGGGTTTTTTCATCTAAAAAAAGCGACATTAATTTCTTGACGACCTAATAGTTTGTTGTGTTGAAGTATTGGACTTAATCTCAAGTTTGAAATGCTTGTGTTCCAGTTTCCATGGCGCGTTTTCTGGCCAATAACAACAAACAAAAGTTATACCATATAGCATTTAACTGATAAAATAAAAAGCTTCGCATTTGATGAGTAAACAAATAAAACTAAGATAAAATTGACAACGAGTAAGGATGGTAAAACATGGCCTACAAAGAAATGTATCTGCAGCAGTAGGATCGTACACTGATGTTCGAATTAAACCAGAATGTGGTGGTATTAACGTTTGTAAATACGTTTTAGTTTTTCATTTCTTATATAAAGTTTGATACATTTATATTTTAGAACTGGAGCATAGTTATCTGTAGTTACTTTATATCTATAACTTTTTCAAAGTTTTAAAAGGATATCACCTAAAATTACAACACACGGCACGTCTATAGTTGAATTGTATTTCTGCTTGTTAGGTATGGTTTAAAAATCGTCGAGCTAAGTGCCGTCAGCAACAGCAACAGCACCAACAGAATGAGGGGCCATCAACGAAGAGTTCGCGTTCCAAAAAGATTAAAATTTCACATCCAGCCACAACTTTACAAACTACGAGTCATCGAGATTCGGTATACAAACCAGCCTCTTTACCTCCTGTACCAGCACCCTCCCCACCTTCTGTGACATCCAACGGTACTAGCGCCATCTGGAGTCCAGTGATTACTCCTATGTCCGATTTCATGTCCGGCAGCAGTTGTATGCAAAGGCCATCCTATCAAATGACCAATATGAACAACACCAGTAACTGCTACCCTCAAGGTTACGGACCAGCGTCCTACTATGGAAACATGAGTATGGAATATCTCCCGCCACCAATGACGCATGCGCAGTTGAGTGTCTCGCCAATGAACTCTTTGAATCAAATGAACATGCCTGTGATGACATCGCACATGAACACCGTAGGACTACCGTCTACGCAACCTCTGACCCCGCGAACCTCCCCAATTAACGGGAGTATTTCATCAAACGACTGTATAGAGTATGGTGTTGAAAAGCCAGCTGCATGGAAGTTTCAAGTGTTGTGAAATGTGTTTGGTGTAACTCACGTGATTAATGTTAATACAGTTACCTTATTTCGTTACAAGTTAGTACAACACAGGAAATTTTCGGTTCTTCTAGCATCACATTCACAGTAAGGTAGGATTAGTGTGTATTTTAAAATTGGTTTCTCCCATACAGCCTTTTGGTTATATTATTGTGAATAGGAACTGATTAATTGAATTTTCTTTCACGTAAGCAATCTGAGAAACTTCTGATTTGTGACCGGACCCATAATATTTAGGACTGATCTTAGTGCTCGTTTCGTTCTACTATCGAGAAACTACGAAGTTTCTCAAATAACACGTGAATGCCCAAGTGATACTAAGACAACTATACCACCAGAAATAAAGGGTAGTATTGATTATCAAGAATTCAGTTTAAAAGCTGACAACGTTTGGTAGCAAAGGAGATTTTATTTCATGGTTTATTTTTAAGACTTTCTAATCTGTGAATATCTGATTTTACGTATGAAGTAATTTGACTGAATAATTTAGGGCTAACAAACTGTTTTCCTTTTATCTTTTTTTCGTTAATGTGTTCACATATAATTGTCCATAAACTAAATAACTCGATTTTCATTGCAAAATATTTGGCCAAACGCTAGAAGAAATAACAGAAACAAAATAAATCAGGTAAAGGTTCTGTAATGAAGCGTACAATCTTGAAAAGTTACAGATAGTCTGATTGGAGAATACGCAAAAGCTTTATGGAAGATGAAGACATCGTAGAAAAGATTTAAAAAACTTATTTTAGATGTAAATTTGTTGTTTTCGGAAAATGTATTCATGTTTTTAGTTTCTAAACAAGTCATGATGTGACTCATAACACGAGTTTTCTTCTAAACGAGTCATGGTGTAACTTTATATAACATGAGTTTTGTTTTAGTCGAGTTATGGCGAAATTTCGTAATATGAGTTGTTGTTTTTTAAACTTAGTAACAATACGTTTTCTTCTAAACGAGTCATGGTGTAACTTTATATAACATGAGTTTTGTTTTAGTCGAGTTATGGCGAAATTTCGTAATATGAGTTGTTGTTTTTTAAACTTAGTAACAATACGTTTTCTTCTAAACGAGTCATGGTGTGACTCATAACACGAGTTTTCTTCTAAACGAGTCACGGTTTAACTTCGTAACATGATCTTTCTTTGGAATAATGAGATTTTCTTTCAAACGTATCATGACTTCGTAACACGAGTTCTTCTTCTAAACACTTCATGGCATGACTTTGTAACATGAAGGTTAAACAATTCGGGCTAACCAAGATATATGTTGAAGCTTCCTGTTTTCTGTTAATTGCTTGATAAACCTACAATTAAGTTTTTATTACTTGAAACGAACTTATGCGAGGTTTATGAAGTATACCTTATTGCCTTTTTATCATCAACCTTTACACAGACAGGTACGGTCATTTTGGAAGCCATTGCAAAATTTTATTTTGACATTTAAACAAAGAATAAACTCGAATGGGTGAGGATAAAACATGTCATTATTTTAGAAGTAGAGAGAGAGAAGAAATAATTGAAGAATGTTTGAACGTAGATGGTAGACGAAAAAATATTTTAGGATACTCAAAATGAGGCGAGGAAAATTCAAGATTACGAGGTAATAATGTTCAGTAGATTATTAAGCGGATGAGAAAAAAGACGTTAAAATATTTAATGAACAAAATTGAAATAGCTTAAGACTAATTTATTTAAAAGTTCTCAACGAAATGACTTAACTGGTCTACACAATACTGATAGATAGAAAAACGTATTGGTCGACGTTCTAAGATGATGGTTTGAAGCTAAAGTATGAGTCGAAAAACTTCAAGACTTCAGTTGATATGCTTGTTAAACGTTGCATGCATTTGTATACTATAGGTTAATTCTTTTTGCAAATCTAATCACATACAAAAACAAGAGAGCTAAACCTAGCATTTGCTAGTACTATTTGAGATTTAAAATGTCTGATTATTTATTACCCACATGGCTCAATCATTATTTTCATGCAAATTATGCTTCGTAAGCTTTAATTCTTGTTTATTATAATTCTATATAATTAATGTTCAGCCTTTTGAAAACAAAGTGATAAAACATTATCACAGCACGTAAAATCTGGCAACTTCATTATGTATGACTAATTTGATGTTTTTCTTTTACTTCTAATACTGATTTCCAGTTTTTGAATCTATGAATAAAAATCACCGTATGTGATGAAAAGCCCCTCTGTTACCGTTTTATTAATACATAAGCAAAAGTAAATAACCTTACTGCTTTTCCTTGGCATCATATTCTAACAACGATAAAGTTAGCTGACCGAAAGGACGTTATAGCTAGTTGATGAGAAACGGTCAGTAGCGAATATTAGAGTCAGGTGTTTAGATATTTTTCATCTCAAATTTCGTAAGCCTTCTGTGATCATCACTGTCATCATATTCATAATCAGTCTATAATATCAATGTGTTTTACAAACGGATGTTTATTCTCGCCAGGCATACAATGTCCTTGTTTAGGGCCACTGAACTATTTTTTGTTTATACACGATAAGAAATACCTTTCTTTCAGACTGCATAATTGTACGTTTATCACATCGAAAATCATTATTTTCCAAATTAAACAAAATGCACACCTGAATTCATGCAAGCACTGAAATAGATCTAGTTATTTTTGTTTCATTTTTTTTTAAACGTGTTCTTTCTTGAAAATATGAATGTTCATACTTCAAGTAAATGAATCAAGAAGTTTCAGTTCTTCAGCACAGGCCATTAATTTTTGTTTGCATTCCAGTAAACTGGGCATAAAAGGTGTGGTAAGCCAAGCCCAAAGCTTTAATTTGCCAGTAAACTTTCATAAGTCGTCTTCTTCAAGAAGCAGTAATATTATGACTTATGATGTCAATTTCGTATGATTTCTAAAATATAAAAATAACTGGACTGTACATTCGAATGTGTAGAAGTTTGGAGCATGTCGATGTGTTTATGTTTTATTTTGTAAACTCTCTACAGAATTATTATATAAACTATGCCACCATATGTTAAATAAATTCTGTGTGTCTATACGATCATTATTCATTAACATATATGCTTTCATAGAATTTTAATTTTTTAATTTTTTCTTACTATTTTGAAGTAGACTGATGCTCAGAGAGAGAGAGAGAGAAAAAAAGTGTATTTGTGAGATTTTACTTCTTTTTTTTCAGTAATCTTTCGATAAATCTAGTTAAAACCTTGAATTTATAAAATAAGTTCACTCGAATTCCAGTTTGGGATTCTGTGTTATGTTTGTTGCTCTGTGGAAATGTTGCAACAGTGGGGTGTAAATAAAAGTTAATTGTATCTGTAGTTTGTGTATATTTATGGATGTAAATTACGTGAAATACAGAGCGGACTTAGGAAAATACACAAATAAACAATAGTTTAACGAGTAAGACACGTTAATGTGTTGATCAAATATTCATAATATACTAGATGTGCCCAGCAATAAAGTTCTCAGTCAAGTCCGCGTATGAACATCCAATCATAGAATATAAGGTACAAGAAAAAATAAGCAGTTTTTTTAATATCTTGATTATCAAACAATTATTGAAGGAATTAAAAGACAACTGATCTAATTCAGTGTTTTCCAAACTCTTTTAGTCTGAGGCTCCCTTGATGTGAATAAAAAAGGTTGAGGCTCCCCAACCTATAAAAAGTCCTAAAAATGTGATTTTAAAATGTTACCCTTCCCCATTACTTTAGCGTGGTGATGTACCATTTAATTACCTCAACATAATTTTTATCGGCTTATTGTTTATTGAGAATTAAAATTAATTCATTATCTTTGTTTTCGGCCCATTTTTTTTGCGGCCCTCCAGGAAAAGCTTCACTGCCCCTAGGGGGGCCGTGACTCCCACTTTGGGAAACATTGGTCTAATGTACAACATAAAGTAGCTAACATTCTACTCTTCACAGGATTTCCTCTGTAAGTTAGATCCTTTGTACTATTTATCTACTTTAGTTACTTTTGTCACATTTGTTCCGTTGTATATCTCTTATAATATGCATAAAACTTTACTGAATTATTGTGACATAATAATAGACTAATTTCACACGGTTGTTTGCATTAAAATAATTCTAAAAGAATCGAAATTTTTACCAAACTTAAAAATGGATGGAAAAGAACTGAGGATCCACATGTTTCTGGAAGACGTAGCACCTTTTTGAAACAGAGGAATGTTAACTTTTTTGTAACACGATAAATGCTTAAGATGTTAATTTTGCACATTATTCGACTTCATATTAGAGAACATATACATTGATTATATTAAGTCTACAGGTTTACGACGCTAAAATTCAGGTTTCGATGCCCGTAATGGGCAGAGCACATATAGCTTGTTGTGTAGTTGTGCGCTTAACAACAACCAGATCAACTTATATGTAATACAAAAAGACGAATTAAAGGTTCAGAAAAAATAGGACTTGCTCGCTGAAGGTGCAGTTAACTAAGAAGTTGCCCCCCCCCAAGTTGCACAAACAAAGGAGTTCCCTGAAGATACTCTTCAGGAAAATGTTTTAATCCACCACGAACAAAAAATGAAAAACGTTTAGATTAAGTAGTTTAGATATGATCCATCTTGTACTTTGAATTTAAAGTTTCAACACACATTCCGAAACCGGCTAATAATTTATCATGGTTAGTCCGCACGATAACGGTGAATAGAAAGGTTAACCGCCACTGTTATTATATCATGATTAGTCTGCATGGTAATGGTTAAGAAGAAGATTAATTGGCACTGTGGTTATGTGTTTGGTCATTCGACACGATAATGGTTAAAAGAAAGGTTAACCGACACTTTTATTATATCATGGTTATTCGATACGATAACGATTAAGAGAAAGATTAGCTTGGCACCGTGGGTATATCATGGTTATTCGATACGATAACGATTAAGAGAAAGATTAGCTTAGCACCGTGGGTATATCATGGTTATTCGATACGATAACGATTAAGGGAAAGATTAGCTTGGCACCGTGGGTATATCATGGTTATTCGATACGATAACGATTAAGAGAAAGATTAGCTTGGCACCGTGGGTATATCATGATTATTCGATACGATAATGGTTAAGAGAAAGATTAGCTTGGCAACGTGGGTATATCATGGTTATTCGATACGATAACGATTAAGAGAAAGATTAGCTTAGCACCCTGGGTATATCATGGTTATTCGATACGATAATGGTTAAGAGAAAGATTAGCTTGGCACCGTGGGTATATCATGGTTATTCGATACGATAATGGTTAAGAGAAAGATTAGCTTGGCACCGTGGGTATATCATGGTTATTCGATACGATAATGGTTAAGATTAACCGACGTTGTTAGTACATTATACCATGGTCAATCTGCAGGGTAACGGTTAAGAATTGGTATGTTTTACTAATGTCAAAATGGCGTTATAATAATATGACGGTCTAGCAGAACGCGCGTCATTATATATATATTGCGAACTTGGGTGTCTGTCCGAACGTTAGTCTGTCTCCTGTTTGAAAAGCTGCGCATGGACGCAGGTAAAGCTCAAGATTCACTTTTGAAATGACGGGAGAACAGGCATGAATAACGTTGATGCTAAATTTTATTTCGCAAGAAGGATATTCTACACTAAATTGTTAGCAGTTAATCACACTATCATTCACATTTCAAAATGTGATGTAACTTAAAGAATAAAAATGTAGACTTAGAGTATGTTATTGTTGAGTGGCTCTTAGCATGACTGAAATGTTCAAGCGGTGGGTTGAATAAGTAGCTCAGAACTTAGGCTTTGAGTGAAACCAAGAGTGCAACACAGTTAACCTCTTTAAAGTCCATGAAATAATTTAAATTGATAGATTGACTTAAACTTTCCCCATCACTGGGGACGGGTACTTTTGCTTGTCATTAAATATAGTATCTTCGATGGGATATGCAAATACATCTGTCAGAGTTTAACATCAGTGACAACTTAGAATGAATACATCTGTCCTGATAACTAGTAGACATTAAAAATAGTTACATGGTGACCTAAAACGAGTCCAAAAAATAGTAATTGCAGTCTTAAGCATGACAACACTTCATCAGTGGTGCCCAGAGTACAGACAATGAATGACAGGAAGAGTGTGAAGTATTTAATGAAACTCGTCTTAATCCTTTCTCTACTATGAAATATATGGAGCAAACCATACTAAGAAAACCTTTTATTGACAAGAGTTGGGTTTCCTTAGAAGGGTTAACATCATCCAAAGTATAGCCAAACGTTGTTACTTCTCATGTTTAGCTCCAAAATATTGAATTCCACCCTGATGAGTGCGATAATACGACGGTCCTATGAACTTGTATGGTCTGAAAAGAATGGGCTGCAACGAAGAAGAAACCTTACAGTATATTGTGTAATCTGTAATCTGAGATAGGTAGTCCAATCAGCAGGGTTTCTAAAAAAGCTAAAAGTCGGCGTATTTATGTATACATCAACAAAATAAATTCAACTGTCATTTTAAAATTCTGAATAAGAATATAATGCATGACAATTAAATAATTTGTGGATAGAACGAAGCTTGTCTCTCAGAGTTCCCAGAACACCAGTCACCACAACGTCCTTCAGTCCATCCTGTTCACCTAGATCGATTCTGAGGAGATTTCGATCAACAGATTGTAGTAGTTCTTCTTCCCGAGTATACGTCTATCATCTGCAACAAGTTCTTGTTATTGACCTTCGCAACAGCACTAAACGTCAAAAGTCCAGGAGAGGATTTCTCGGAGATCCTATGTTATGCGTTTAGACAGTCACCTAACCGCAGTGCATGACGGACTCTTTATTTTAGTTATCAGTTGTTCGACTGGGGAAAAATGCTATTTCTTTTCAACACAAAAATAGAGATTTAAACCACAAAAAGAGTTAAGAAAAGCAAATTATAATAACATCTCTTGGGGAAACTAGAATACTCAGCAATAACAAATCCTGTGATCACAGCACCAATATTTCTTCTTAATAACATACATTGTAGTTATTCTAAGTAGTAACAAATAACTTGAGATACGTCAGGATATGTATAACACAATGGAAAGTAATATTTATTTACAAAGGAGACAGTTAAAGTGAATGAATGCACTTAACTACGAGACAGCGTTTAACTAGGTTTCAAAGTCTAATACTTCAGAAAGCTGCTCGTCCTAAGATAAAACAAAATTTCTTGTCCTAGCCTGAGAGAACACAATACGATATACAAAATTATAAAATACCATCCGTCTCAGTGCGAATTCCCAACCCACGTCACTGTTGGTCATTCCTATAGCAACTAATGAAAAATACAATTGTCCACTTCTAAACAGTATTCAATTATATAGCAATCTTTTCAATGAGAAAGCGCATGTGACACCAAAGAGGAATGACTCAGAAAAATAGGTAACTAGGTCAAAAGCAATATGGCCACATTCCATGGCTAACATTCTACTGTTAAAAGTAAGCACAAGGCCAAGAACGTGTTTACTATGTTGATAATTCTAGGTAAGCATGAAACGCTCAACTGACTAAACTAGGGGTCTCCAAAGCTTTTTTGGACAAGGGCCTGGAGGTAGATCTTTTTAGGCCTCGCGGGCCGGAGGGGTCGTGGTAAAAGTAAGTAGGGATGCATACATGATCAGACTGGCTTTTGCTCAATTACGTTTTCTTTTTCTTTTTATAATATTAAAAAATTATATTATTACATTAATAAACTGTTGGCCGACCGGATAAACCGAAGTCGTAGTTTGGAGACCCCTGGAATAAACTATTAAGAAGACAGAAATGATGAACTAAGCTAGGCAGACCACAATCCCATGGGTAGATTCATTCATTTGCTGTAAGAGTCACGGGGAACATGCTCCAGTGTTTGAACTGATTTTCAACTGCCTTTTGTGTTAAAACCCCTAATATAGTTCTAGTGGGTAAAGTTAAATCATTATTAATTTTGATAAACTCAGTCAACTGGAATGAAATGTGCTGTCTGTAGCATTTAGTACCTATGAACACAGCCGTAGTTCTTCAGGGTAGGAGATTTTTTTCCTGTTGATTACCTCTCTTAATA